TGCACGAAATCAATTTGAAAACACGATTAAGAGGCATCATGAGAATGAAAGGGGGGGACAACTCATATCAAGTTATACTTATTATAAAACCCAGGTTGTTTGTGTGTGTGTGTGTGTGTGTGTGTGTTCGTTTATATATGGGATCGGATTTCCAACATTTCTCAACCGATTTCAACAAAACTTCACTTTTTTTTATTGGCTGGTAGTGTTTCTTATTATCTTGCACACTTTTTTCTTTATTTTTACATTCAGAATGCTTTAAAAATTCCATTTACAAGACAATTGTTTATAATAAAATTCTATTCAAATCAGTAGACTCATAACGATTGAAAACTATGTTTTTGTTTGAGTTTGGGTTTGACCAATTCATAAAAAAACAAAAAAAACTAATTAAGACATGCGTGTCCGTCGGCCTTAAACAATAGTCTTTGTCAATTTTATTTTTCAGTCTTTATGATGGTCGATACTTGATCTATCTCTTACTGTTACATCCCCAGGCAACGCCGGGCTCTACTGCTAGTACATATATATATATATATTTTGTGTATTTAGGCTGTAATCCCTCTTTTATACCTGTTTTGTTAAAGATAACTGACAAGATACTGCAATTAATTAATTTTTATTTAATTTTTCTTGTGCTTATATAAGTGTCTTCTTTTCTGAACATAAAGTGTGTAAAAACTCCAAAAGTTCTGCATATCTGAATGCTTTCAGCTATTTTTTAGCCATTATCAAGGGAGATTTTTTGTTTTTTAACTAAATATGTGGATTTTTTATTTATGTGCCTAAAGTTATAAGAATGTTTTATTTTCTGAACATGGTCAGCATATTGTAGCCATGTTCATAGTTAATGTTATTGAGTGTTGGCTTTTTTTTTTTTATTAGGGCTTTCATTATTTTTAATCTTTTTTATATGTGGATGAAGCTGTTATACTTGTATTTTCTACTAGTATGTTTCAGATGGTGTCTGGTAGGTTTTTGTGTGTGTTTAAATGAGTCCTAATGGAGCTATGGTTGGGTAGGTGTAATATAAGTTGTCTAGATAGGCATGTAGTAGTGTGACCAATGTAATTATTTATGAGTTTAGCTTGATCAGGAACAGAGTTTCTTAAGGAGAATTTGAACTCTTAAATAATGTTGGTTCTTTGTAGTTTTGATTTTGCCAGTGTGTTGTTATTTTTGATGATAAGATTAGCTGTTTTAAATTTTTTGCATTAGATAATTTAATTTTCATGTTCAGGTCAACTGAGGTTGTGTATTTGATATTTCTAAGAGAAAATTCATGTTGGTAATAGTTGACATGTATTTGGCTTTTGTAGAAGATGTTAATGATATTGTTTTTATTCATACATTCAGTATTGTTATTAGCTACTTTTGCAAGAAATAGTCTAATCTTGTGGCCAATGCAGTAGTTAGGACTATTGTTAACTAGTGTCTATTTTACATTATTGAGTTCTTTAAGGAAAAGTGGGCAAGAGGATGAATTCTTGTGTGCTCTCTTTAAGAAAATTTTTTATAACTGCTATTTTATATCTAAGAGAGCATTCACTCTTAAAATTAAGGTGTTAAGAGTTTCTGCTAGTGTTTTTTTTTATATAATGAAGTGGTGAATGTATTATTACTGAATTTTATAGGAGTTTATTTTTTGACTTGGTTTCTAAGTAAAGTTAAGGACAGTTTTTTTTTTTTTTTTTTTTTCAAATGTGGTTTTGAGATTATCAATTTCTTGTTTATTTTTTGCTAAAATAAAAATATCATCTACATAGCAGACATATATTTGGGGTTTAGTGACTTGTTTAAATATTGTTTTCTATGTGGAACATGTAGTAGTTGGAGAAGCCCAGCAAGCTGAGAGGATTTCCCATACTAACAGCATTAGTTTGGGTCTAGATATTGCCATTATGGCCATAGAAAGAGACATGCAGGCATGCAATAACTTTTTGAAGATGTTTGATGGATGGAGGTGGAAACCAAATCAAACCAAGTATCCTCCAAAAAAAAACAAAAAAAAAAATTACAAAGAACCAACATTATTTACAAGATCAAATGCCTTATAATGAACTGTGTTCCTGATCAAACCAAACTCAGGAATAATTACATTGGTCACACTACTACATGCCTATCTAAATGACTTACCTACCCAACTCCATTAGGACTCATTTAAACACACACAAAAATCTATCAGATACCATCCGAAACATACTAGTAGAAAATACAAGTATAATAGCATCATCCACATGTAAAAAAAAAAAAAAAAAAAATTAAAAATAATGAAAACTGTAATAATAAAAAAGGAAAAACCAACACTCAATTACATTAATTACAAACACAGCCACAATGTGCTGACCATATTTGGAAAATAAAACATTCCTATAATTTTAGACACATAAATAAAAAAAACTCATATATTTAAAAAAACAAAAATCTCCCCTGATAATGGCTAAAAGAATAGCCAAAAGTGCTTGGATATGAAGAACTTTTGGACAGTTTTTACACACTTTGTGTCCAGAAAAGACCACACTTGTGCAAAACAAATTATATAAATTGCAGTCATCTTTAACAAAATGTGTGTGTGTGTGTGTGTGTGTGTGTGTGTGTGTGTAAAATGGCTTTTTGCAATTCATAGTTATTATTTTTTTTATTTCATGACATTTTGTCAGAAAATTTTATTTGACATTTAACATTTTTATTTTGTAATTTTGAATTTTTTACTTATCACTTTCTAAACATAAACATGTTAATTCAAATTACCTATTAATTTTATGAACAGAAAAATACTGAGCTTTTTACTTTATGAATTCTGACAGATTGCTACTATATAGTAAACGGAATGGATGTACATAAGTTTGTTGTGATATACTTATAATTCTTTGTATTCATTCAGTTAATTATTTAATACCTTCTACTTATCTGCATATGAACTGTTGTGTGATTTCGCGTGATTTCACGTTGGTTCACGTCACATGATTTTGTGTTTATAAATAATGGTGGGACGCCTCTATCTTTCTCTCTCTGGCATCCGTTCGTTCATATCTTCTATGTAACTGGTAACAGTGTATGCTTTTTATGTTGAATAAGACCATAATATACAACTTTCTAAAAAGGTCTCTTTTCATCACAATTTATTCAACATAAAAAAAAGAGTAAAATAATGGATACTATTCTGAGACCCGGTTGATTTGAGGGATCGTCAGAGACAACTGCTGATGAATGGAATCACTGGTATCGTACCCTTGTCAATTGCATCAACTCTCTGACAGTAGCTCACCCTGACAACCCTCCTAACAAGCTCAGCATATTAATTAATTATATATCACCTAGAGTCTATTCCTTGATATCAAACTGCACAACATTCTTCAATCTACTTATGTCAAACCAGTTAATTCTGTATTTGCTTGTCATCTGCTCACCACTAGAAAACAGCAGCCAGGTGAATCTATTGATCAGTTCTTCTAACTTTAAAAAATCTTTCCAAGGATTGCAAATTTGAAGACGTCACTGCTTCTCAGCATGCCGAACAAGCAATAGGAGATGCTTTTATCACAGGCCTCACTTTCCCAGTGATACGGCAGAGACTACTAGAAAGTTGTGAAGTTAATTTGGATAATGCAGTAGCAACCGCGAGAAGTCTCAAAATGGCCCAACACAATGCCGCAGCTTATGCCACTTCGTCAGTTGTAGCAAAAGCATCAATTTATCCAGAAGAATCTAGAAATAATTCTACAGATGAATTAACTAAAGAATGTGCTGCTGCTACCAGAACTAATCAAGCAGTTCGTTACGCCAAATGTCAATTCTGCGGGCGTGAGAATCATTCTCGATACATTTTGCCCAGCAAGAAATGCTGACTGCCTTTCGTGTGGGAAAAGAGGCCACTTCTCCAAAGTCTGCCGGTCTAAAAGAAGAGCAACTTCACCTAATATAAAAACCAGCACTGCTTTTATTGCTCTCACAGCTTCATCCTAATGCACACCTTTTACACAATACTCCATAGTAGTTGCAACTATAAACAACACTCGCCTGAAAGCCATGGTAGACAGTGGAAGCACTCATAATTTCATAAAGTTGAACGTTGTGAAATCACTTGGCCTTCCTATACTACCTTCCAGTGACACAGTAAGTATGGCTTCCTCTAATCTCATGAGCAAAACCCAAGGTCACTGTATTGCATCTATCGCAATTAATGGACAAACATACCCTGATATGCATCTGTCTGTTCTGCCCAACTTATGTACTCCTGTCATACTTGGACAAAAATTCATGCAACTACACAAACGTGTGGAATTCCTTTTTAACGGAGATATACCTCCTTTACAAATCTGTAACACCGCTCAGATGAAAATAGGGCCACCTGCTCTTTTTGCCAATTTATCAGATGATTGTAAGCCAATTGCAACAAAGAGCAGAAATTACTCTGCATCTGATCGCGAATTTATTCGGAACGGAGTACAGAAGCTCTTAAAAGAAGGGATAATAATTAACTCTAATTCCCCATGGCGAGCCCAAGTCTTGGTGACTCATAATGAAAGGCATAAACATCGCATGGTCATTGACTATTCTGCACTATCAATCGCTATACTTTTCTCGATGCATTCCCTCTTCCAAAAATTTCAAACATTATACGCCACCTATCTCAATATAAGATTTTCGACAAGTTAGATTTGAAGTCTGCATATCATCAATGCCCTATCCGTGAGGAGGAAAGAATTTATACAGCCTTTGAAGCTGACGGAGGCCTGTATGAATTTTCTCTGTTACCCTTTGGATTAACTCTGTAGCTGTATTCCAACATATCATGCATAACATAATCCAAGAACATGAACTTAAAGGCACCTTCACCTATATTGATGACATTGTCATCGGGGGAAAGACAAATAAAGAATTGAATGAAAAATTGAGGGCATTCAAAGAAGTTGCTGATCGTCTCAACTTGCAACTGAACCCTAATATATGTGAGTATGGCATCACCAAACTTAAGTTTCTAGGGCACCTGTTGGAGAATGGAACAATCAGTCCTGACCCAGACAGACTTACACCACTCAAAGACTGTGGGACGCCTCTATCTTTCTCTCTCTGGCATCCGTTCGTTCATATCTTCTATGTAACTGGTAACAGTGTATGCCTTTTATGTTGAATAAGACCATAATATTCAACTTTCTAAAAAGGTCTCTTTTCATCACAAAGTTTGTTGTTGTAAGCAGTAAGTTTCACATTCTTTGATGCAGGACAATCTGTATTTGAAAGCAAAATATATATGCTGATGAATTTTTATCATAAAATCTAAACTTATTCAGTAGTTCTTAAAAGATTATTAATTTTATTAAGTTATAAATGAGACAAAAATGGTCATAGTATTTAATTTTTACTTGTGTATAGGTTGTTTTTATATATGTGTACATAAAGTAATTTCTCTTTTGTTGACAGGCTGAAATAAAAAACTTAAAGAAACTATTTGAAGAAAAAGATAACCAATATGAAGCTAATCTTGTGGATTTACGTAGGAAGCTAAGTATGTCTGAACTTGTCTTCTTTTTGCTAATCACAACTCCATTGAGAGAAATACATTTCTCTAACATATTTATTTAGGGTCATACTAAACCAAAACAAGTTTGACGATAAATTGTTTGGCTATTATATGCAGTTATGGTTCATTTAGTATCTTACAGTGTGTGTGTGTGTGTGTGTGTGTTTATGATGGTGTCTAACTGCATAGATGCATCTGAGTGTTGAAAGTATTAACTTTTTAACAAATTTTAAGTGTATGTATTTTTATGGATATGTTAAATTTTCTCTTTGCACATGCTCCTTTAAATTATCAAAATCAGCTCCAGGAGCACAATACTCTACACCTTCTTTGTTTCATGTTTTCACTGACATGAAGTGGAGCAACTATATCAAATCAATTGCTACATCTACTGCAAGGAATGTTGGTTCACTATATTGTACCAGAAAAATTTTCTCATCAGAATCCATCTTGCACATTTATAAATCTAGCATTTGTTTATGCATTGAAAACTGTTACTATATCTGGTCTGGTGTACTTGCTGTACATCTTAGAATTCTTGACAAAATCCAAAGAAGGATTTGTAATGTAATCTATCCAGACCAGGCATCTTGATTTCAAACACTTTATCACTGGCATAATGTGACTTCTCTCTGTCTTTTCTACAAATATTTTCATGGGAACTGTTCTGATTAGCTTTTTTCCTTAGCGCCCCGATCACATGAATTTAAGCATGCGACTAGATTGGCAACTTGGTCTCACCATTTTACTGTTGAACTAGCTAGATGCAACCACCACTTCTACTCTAACAGTTTCTTTTCTCACACCTCTCATCTGTAGAACTCCCTTCCAATTTCTTGTTCCCTGCCACCTACAATCTTCAAAAAGTTAAGTGCAATATCAGTCGCCATCTTCTGTTTTCTTGGACCCTATTCCTTTTGATCCTTTTCTCAATCCTCCCCCTTAAAGTCTTCTCTTTCATTTTCACTCCCTGTAACTCTTGCATTCTAGTGGTATCGTTGTATTGCTTGAGGATAAAACAATTAAAAGAAAAAAAAAAATTGTAGTTTTAAACTTCAGTTTGATAAACCTTGACTTAGACAATGAGAAGATACTGTTTCAGAACAATTCCTTGAGTAAGAGCAGAAATCCTAAAAGTTGAAATTAAAGTTTTTAAATTCAATAAAATTTAAAGTGTTATTTTATTTGCTCTGCATTAAAAGTTTGAACAAAAGATTTGTTGAATTCTATATTCATCCTGTTTAGATCATGAATGTTAATTATGTTATTTCCTTAATCTTTCTAGTTTTCTGGCTGAGTTAATGTGTAGTCTTTATTCTATAATCACCTGTTTATTTGAGATTGCTTAAATAACAAGACTATTAAAGCTATTAAACATTCTAAATAAACCTGTAAAAACAAAATAATAAAAATTGCAATTTTTCCCCCCTATGTAAATTATGTATTTAAAAAATGTTTAAGCTTTACTTTTTCTTTTCTAGTCAAGCAGTCAAACATTGGCTCGATCTGTGATGATGATGATGAGAATGATGAACTTCCTGCGGTTGTATCTGAGAAGGATGTTGCATGTATTTCATTGGAGAAAAAAGCGGAACCCAAAATCTCTGAAGAATTATTACTTGAAAAAAAGGCAAATGTTTTTTTTGTTTTTTTTTCTTTTAATCCTTTCTTCAATTTTTGTCTTTAATGGAAATAGGCTGGAAATAAACCACCCAAGGTTGTCAAAATTACAAAGTGACATGAATTCAAATTCTCAAGAAAAAAAAGATAGACAATGTACCTCTTTAATTAGAAAAATATAAAAGATTATAGTTAACTAGAATGACCAGCTATCACTGGTATAGTCTACAAAATCAATTGGATAGCCAAAAGCTATTTTATAATAATAATAATAATAATAATGGGAAGCAACATCATTCCAATTTGGTGTTCTCACTTAAATTATATTCCATAACAATTCAATTCATTGTTTTTCTTGTTTTCACTTAAATTATAGCAGAATAATTTTACTTCTCAGATTAGGCTAGAATGGTTCAACAGGTTAGATTTAGAGATGAGGCTTTTTGTTTCTTTTAATGATTTTTGCACGTCTTGTATTCAATCTCAAAGATAACTTTACTCTTCTGCAGTTCATTGTCAATGTTTAATCTGTATTTGTTCTGTAACATTGATACTTTTGCTTCCTATCTCATCAGCCCAAACATTGTCAATGATCAGTCTTTCACAAATGTGAAGATAATTGATTATAATTATTTGCTTTGTTTCTATAGGCTCAAAGTCTGAAGAAAAATTTTAACGAGCAATTCAAGAAACAAGAGAAAAAATGGCAGACAGAAATAGAAAATATGAAAAAGAAATATGAACAAGAAATTATAAATGTAAGATTATATTGATTAAAAGTTCTGCATAAATAAAAAAGAAAAATGTAAAGTTAAATAAAGAGTTATTAAATATGTTATTTTATACTGTATTTGTGAATTCTACACATTTAGTTAAGTTAAAATATCCTATTTATTGCACCTAAGCATAAAAGATTTGAAAAACTACTTAAGAAAAATAAGTACAAAATTTAAGCAACTTATGTACTGGTCAAATCCAGGTTGCTTATAAACAAAGAAATTTTATATACCCATGGCAATTTGGCAGTGAAAGGTAGTACATTTCTTTTTATTATAAACTTTTCATTTTTCATTTACTTTTTTAATTTTATTTTTTTATGGCATTTAACTGAATGCTTATGTCAAATTTTTAAATTTATTCTCTTGTAAAAATATAAATACGATATCAGTGAAAAGGTTAGCTGTAGAACAGCTAATACTGTTTACTTATTGATTCACTAAAATCAATGTACAGTCTTGCTTTCTATTTTTCTATTATTTAGTATTGATTATGACATATGCTCCAAAAGCAATATCTCTTTTTTTTTTTTTTAAATTACAATAGATACAGGAAATACAATAATTCCATTAAAAAGAGCAAATTTTCAGTTACAAAAGGCCCCCACAAAGTCACAATCATTGGCTCTGCATTCTTGCCAACAAGAGCTCTTCATTTTCTGTGTTGGCACTTGTACAAAGCCACTCGGAATATGGTTTGTTACATACATTACTATTACCAATGTTGAAATGCATTACCCACTGTCTAACTGTGCTCATATTCACTGTTTGGTTTCCATAAATATTAAGTGATAAATGTCAGTGAGTACTATTTTTCCTTCATGGGGGAATTTAATGATACACCTCTGCACTTCATATCAGATACCATTTTGCCAGATTTGCCACTTATCTGTAACAAGGCCCAAAAATGATTGTTTATTGGCAGGAAGGTTCAACATCTACTGCTATGCCACCAATATTCAACCTTGACATAGTAAAATACAAGAAATGAGTTTTGGGTGACTCATAAATTTATCGAAATATACATTAGTTAAAGTTACAATTTAGTTTTTTATATAGTTTTAACTTGATTATGTGTTAACTCCATTGATTTATTTGTTTCTAAACTTTAATCACAAGAAAGCATGACCTGATTTACTTGTGTTACCATTTCTTCTAACAGCTACAGCAGAAGCAAAAAGAAGCTACTGTTATCCCATCCAAACTGGTTGATAAACCTGCAAAACGGAAATTGAATTATTCACTAAAAGCAGTTAAAATTAATGAGACAAAGGCAAGTATTAAATAATTAAGTTTTAAATGACTCTGATGTTTGGTCATATTTTGGGAATATTCTTCTAACTATTCGCTTATTAGCCTTCTTTCTCTTTTTGGTAAAGTAAAAGAGTACTAAAGTACTGGAATTTTTAGATTGTGGCCTATTTAAACACATCATACCTAAAAACTTCACTTACCTAAGATATATAGATGATGTTCTTTTATTATATCCTCATAATATAAATCTATTAGGCATAATAAAGAAAGTTAATAAAGTTGAACCTACCATCAAATTTACACACAAATTTGAAATAAACAAATCTCTACTTTTCCTCGACATATTAATACATAACAAATTAGATTTTAGTGTGTATCACAAACTCACTAACAATAGAAATCTAATTAATTTCTATTCTCACCATAGTCACATATATATATATATATATATATTGGAATCAGCATCTTCAGGGCCTGGAAACAGGCTGTTGTCACTCACTGTTGACCTTGTTGTTTTATATATATATATATATATATATATATATATATGTGTGTAAAAGTGTCTTGTGCATGCGCGCGCGCATGTGTGAAATGTAGAAAATAAAATATTTTTCTCAAACTTTTTTTTTTTTTTTCTTTTCTTAGGTGAAGCCTCCTGAGAGAGAAAAAAGATCTCCTGAAGTAACTTTAATTAGCCAGGTGACGCCAATTGAAAAATCAGAATTTAGTGATGATGATGATGTACTGGAAATGGAAACTGAAGAAGATGAAGATGAAAGAAAAGGGGATGAAGTAAAAGAAATTTCCTCAGGTAAAGTGCATCCAGGTTTAAAAATATGACACTTTTATTAAAAATGAATAAATATTTTAGTGTTTGATTTTTTTTTTTTTTTTTTTTTTTAAACTTCTTTAAACATTTTTTAAGACTACTATTTTATTATCTACTTTTTATTAATTACATCTCTCTCTCTCTCTCTCTCTCACAACCTCCACAAAATCGCTAAAAAATCATCATGCTGTGATGAAAACATAGTTTTATTGGCAAAATCTTTATTATTAAGAGGAAGGATCAAAGTATTTTTCTGAATATTTAATGAAATTTTTTTTTACTCCTTTTTAGAATATTCGAAATTTTGATTTAAAAAAAAAAAAAAAAACTTGTTTTTCTTGTGCCAGTGGATCTACTAACTTTTAGCATGGTAAATTTTAACCTCTTTTTTGTGGTGACAGACACATTAATTTGGAAATTCTTGCAAAAAAAATCAAATAATTGTTGGATTTTAATGAAACATTTAGGCCTTATTCACAAATGAATTAAATAGTTTTTATTAGACAATCTTGGTAAAAAAAAAGGATCCTACTTACGTAGACAAAACTTGTCTAAATTATTCAATGAGACATGTCTTAATGAAAACAGGCTGTGAAAATATATGCAATTTAATCATATATTGTAAAACTAATTACAATCTGACAACCTCGATTATTTTTTAAAAAATTTCATTTTTATATGTGTATATATGTGCAAAATTTCTAAGTATGGATGTTCAACTCTAACATTATCATTAAAAAGTCACATGCTTTAAGGGTTGTCCCCCCTCCTTATGAAAAATAAAAAAAACCCTCATATAAACTTTATCGTCTGCTTCATTCACCATACATAACTATCAATATGTTCGGTGGCCATTCAGCTGTCAATAAATCAATTAACACATCAAAAAAGCAAGACACCGTGGTTAAGAAATGCTTGTATATGACATTTTGATGCTATAAGTAATATTTATTTCAAATCAGATTAATTTTTTACTTTAAATTTGCTAATTCTCAAATAAAATTTCAAAAATATGCATATTTTATTTTTGCAAAGTTTTTAAAACCAAGAATTAACTTTTATTTACAAATGTGTCAAAATGGTTGATTTCATCAACTTTACTGAAAAAAATTGATTTCTGTTTGAAATACACTACAGAAAATAGTAAATTTTAAATTGTTTAGCTTTCAATTAAAGCTAAAATGAAAGCTGAAGAAAGCATTTTCATTTTTAAAAATTCATTTTAAACCTTGTGTATACCAAATTCGTGGAGGTACCTATATATATATATATATATATATATATATATATATATATATATATATAAACAATTTTTTTTTTTTTTTTTTTTTTTTTTTTAAATTAAAATATTAAAAATTTCAAAAATATATTAAAATAATTGGAATTCATCTGTTTTGTACACAATTTTGTAAAAAAAAAAAAAAAATTTTTTTTCTTTTACCCTTTCCATTTTTCTCTTTCATCAGTGCCTTTTTGGTTAACTATTTTTCTGTTCTGTCTTTATGTGCTTGTTTATAATGGTTTTTCCTGTTTCCACTTCATACCTATCTCTGCCTTTTCCTTATTCATTTTCTATCTCCACAACAATTTAAGACTTTTTAATAGCCTGGTAAATACTCTTATCATTTGGAACATAATTGAATTCACTCTAAAACAGAAAAATCCACATTTTTGAACAATATCTAACTCCATTGTTAATAACTTACATCAGTTTTTTTAAATTACCAGTATGTAATTAAAATTGTAGCATATTAATATTTTTCTAAAATCAGTTATTATATATTGACTGTCATAATATATAAACTGTTAATATTGATTCTTCTAGCTGTAATGTTTATTTCTTTTCTAGTAAATCTGTTATCATTCAAGTTGTCCTATTAATCAATTTTTCATTGAGATGTGTTCATTATTTTAATTATAACCTAATTTTGCTTCTATAAATGAATGTTTTTTTATTTGTAATAAAACAATTAAAACATCAGGTTTATGCAAGATGTTTTTTTCTAGATTTGAAATTACTTTTTACTAAGAACGTAAAACCAGTTTTTTCATGTCTCTTTTTTGTTTTAATTCAAAGAAAACAATTTCAAAGATTAAAAACAATTCTATGTTATATCTTTGTGTCCTTGAAGGAATTTATTCAATTAATTGTATATCATAAACTTTTAGTTCATAAAATTGTTATGATTATTATTGTTTTTATTGAAAGATTTTATTGTCTTGTTTTATCTATATTTGTTTTTTCTGCTATTTCAATAGACCATACTATGGAATATACCATGAGCACCACTGGGTAAGTAATTTAACAGCCTATTTGTAATGAAGCCTTAATCTGCTACTCTCTTGTAAAAGGAAAAAGGATAAAAAAAAAAAAAGCAAAAGCCAGACAAGTAATCATATTATCAGATTATGGTTAAAAAAACATTTGCAAAAACTAATTGTGTAATAGTGGATAAATAAGTCTGTAACCTTAGATGAAGATATTAATAAAATTTTAATCTGAAATTTTCACTGCACAATATTTGATCTGTGTGATTAATTCTCACTGCTGAATTAAGTACATTGACAAAGAAAGAGATTACATTGAAAAATAAATATTTGTTGTGTAAAATAAATGCTTTTTTCATCATTACGATGAAGAATTATTCATTTACCTACATATGTTGGAATTGTGTCAAAAATGTCATTAATTCAGAACAATATCTGTCAATGATTCTGCATTTAATAATAGCTTTTTGAAAATGCAAATATTTAGTTGAAAAATCATTTTACTGTCAGAGATACTGAAAAAAGAAAACTAGACAAAGGATTTTTTTACTGTGCTATAATCATTTCTGGCATAAAAATGACAATCTCTTAAGTTTTAAATTGCTTTCCTTAAAAACATAAGAGTAAAATTACTTGGGTATAAATTATCATGTTACTTTGAATATTGATATAATATGAAAGCAAAAACTTCCAGAGGTCAGAGTAGAAACAGTGGATATGAACTATATGAGAACTTGATGACAATAAAAAGATTGATACCCCGGAAAGTCTTTTACTCTGAACAATGCTGGGTAACTGTGCTTGCATTGCTGTAAATATGATATGGTTGGTAGATATTTTGAGAGTCACTTTGATTATAGGAAATGGTTAGTGACAGAAAGTGGCCAAGGATAGATTAGACATTGTAAACATTTTTTCTTGCTTGGATCTCCTGATATTATCTCATTAATTGACCAAGGACAACATTGCTTAACTTTTATGGTCAATCTGAAACTCATTTTAATATGCTACTACTATTAGTCCTACAAATTCCTGATAAATGGCGTATAAGTTATCCAAAACAATTTTTGCTAATCTTTTTATGAAAATATCATTTTGAGTTTTATATCCAAAATCAATTTCAGATATAAAATCAAAATAATCAGTTTTACTAAAAGATAATTTTTTTTTTTTAGCTCTTTAACTGAAAGAGTGCAACAAGTTTATCAACAAGTCAGTCAGAATTCAAAGATCCAGCAAGAAATGAGGACTGAAATGGCTAACCTTCTTTCTGAAAAAATGGAGAAAATTGGTTTGCCTCAGGTATGTTATATATTTTGTGTCTATTCAGCACAGTACAAAAATATTTGTGTACCTAGAAAAAATAGCATTTATTATTTTTGTTGTAAATTCTCAAGAACAAAAAAAAAATTGTATAAATTTGCTTTCATCATACGTTTAGGTTTTATTACAATTTTAATCATCACTTTTTAAAACACTAAACATTGCTGAGGAGTGACGGTTGTTAAAATAATAGCAGTGTCAAAGGAAAAACATCATTTTTGACACACTGTTTTTTTGTTTTTTTTGCGGGCATGAAGGCTAAAGATTCATTTTTTTTTTCATTCTGTCATAGTAAACATGAGAATTAAGCAAGTTTAATTATAGGATGACAGTCAATATGCATTTGTCTATTTTTTTTTTTCAATTGTGAAGTTAGTTTAATTTTCTTTGTAGGTATGTTTTTTTCCATTTGAGATTGAACTGACAATTCAAAATATATTTGATTCTTATCAAAAATCTTAAGAGGATTTTATATTTTGGTATCAAGTTCTCTTTAATTGATCTGTTTATGGGTTTGTGTTGTGTATTTTCTCTTGTTTTCATATAAAGGAATGAATTGTAGGTTCTAAACTGGAGAAATTACCCATAGTGCTACTGCTTTTGACCATTTTCTAGTCATTTGCAAGAATGAAACATAGGTGTTATTTTGTTAAATATTGATAAGATGATGAACTCAAATTGAGATTGTCTTGGTATTTCTGTTGGGAAATGTTATGATTTAAGAATTTTACATTAGAAAATATCATTGAAAAAAATCAAGAAAATCATTGTTTACTAAAGTCCTGTAACATGAATTTTGAAAAAAAAAGTCTTTTGTTAGATTTGTTTTTTTGTTATTCAAAATATTTGAAATAATTTTAAAAGAAATGGGGAAAAAAATCAAATAAGATATACTTTAATCTAGTAAATAAAGTTTTGAATATTTTGTTGTTAATATTAAATGAATGGATGTTTTCAAAACCTTAATATACTAGCATAGTACCTATAAAAAAAAATGATGATATATACATTACCATTTCTGCCTTGGATCAGAGTATCTGCATGGTTTGTCAACAATTTGGTCAGGAACAAATGTCTAGCTCCTGGTTTACCTATTTCCTCCTTATTGCACCAAGACAGGCAAGGTCAGACTCAATCTCTGATATGTGCAGTATACTAAAATGAAAATGTTGAGGGGAATTATAATTTCTGGCATTACTTATATGTACACATGAGGATCTCCATATTGAACCAGCCCTCTGTCTTATGTGTAGTGTATTATCTACACCCTAAGATTAAAATGTTGCTCCCTAGGTACTTCTGCCTTGGATCAGTGTAGTATCTATGCATTCTGTGAAAAGTATTGCACAATATATATATATATATATATATATATATATATATATATATATATATATATATATATATATATTCAGTTGTTTGGATATGTGTGTGTGCATGTGGATAAACATTGCATTTTTATATAAGAGGATTAAAAAATTTTCTTTCTCAAAGAAAAAAAAATGAATATCTAAGTTCCAAACATTAGTAATTTTTCCTACAACAAAAACATAAAGCATATAATCTTTTGAATGTATTTTAAAAATAACTTTTTAATTATATCAAATGAAAAACTTGCTTGTTAAAAATGAATTACAAAAACTGAGAATATTCAGGATTAAATGGGAATAAGCATAAAAAGATATTTTAATTCAATTATTGAATAGCAATAGAAAAGAATTCTATAACAATTATTGTTTTGTATTTTAGAGTACTAAAGGAATATCAAAAAAGACTCTCACTGATAAACTATCCGTCATGAAGAAGGAAAGGATGTCTAAATCCAAGGTAAAATATTAATTTAATTGTTCTGGGATGATTTCTTTTACCAGACATTTATATTAGACAAATCAGCACAAATATTATTAAACTAAGTGAATTTTGTTATTTTTATCTGCCTTTATGCATCATATCTATATCACTGAGTTAAACCGAGTTCACTTTTCATAAATCTTTCATATTTTTTGAGATATTTTATTACAAATAAGTTTTTAGTAAGATCTTAATATTCAAAAGTTACATCTGTCAACTGTTACATCCAATTACATTGTTCAATTGCCATATTATCTCAGGTCAAATGTGATATAAACCCTCCCCCACCAAAAAAAAAAAAAAAATTACCATGTTTTTTAGGTTAAAAGTTACTTTTTTTATTTTACTTAATTTTTTTATTTATTCTTTTTTCCCAAATATGTTGCATTTTTAAAGTTGAAGCATCCTTGATACCAGGAAATACAGTGAATAAAATTACTTATTTGATAATTTTCTCTAAACTGGTTTTATGTTTCATGATTTTCTTTATTATATAACTTTTGTCGAAAAAGAATCATGAAGAACCTAGGTTTTTGACTTGTTTCCTTTTCTTTCTTTAGACATAGTTCCAGATCATGCTTTAGAAAATGAAAGTTTGTAAAAGTGATAAATATAAGTTTAAAGTTTTATTTGGCATAAACACTAGCATTTCTCTGCAAATATTGCGTTAATTCTTTTTCTCCATTTCCTTTTGATATAAACCAATATTAATTGATGTTGTTTTGGAATTTCACTTGAGGAATGTTCATAGTTATATTTTTGTGGTTTAAAATATTTTAGCTCAATCCTGAGCTATTTTTTACTTTTGTTATCTCATTGCAGAGGTTTCCAAATTTTGAGCAAGAACGAGTGCATTTAAACCAACTAGTAGAGAAGATTGCCAAAAAGAAAATGGAAGCTGAATATTCTACCAAAGACTCTGTTCTTAATTCCCCAAAAGGTAATTGTTTAAACAAAAATTCTAAAATTTGTGTGACTTGATTTTTATACAATTCTTTGTATAATGATGACCTTATTTCTCAAAGAAAATATTTATTTTTAAACATTGAAGCTGTTTATTCTATAGCAAAAACTGACAACTTTTCATAAGTTGTTGTTCGTTAATAATAAATTAATTTTAATTATGTTAATCCAGAAATTCTGAGGTGTACAACTGTTGGCAGTTTGAATAAAGTGGAATAAAATTTTCATACGTGAAAAATGTGTGACTCTGAAAATTCAAGTCTGTCTGGTTTTTTTCTGTTGTAAAATGTTACAAAATCATTTTTTTTTTTTTTTTTTTTTTTTTTTTAATTTGTAATAACTGATATAAAATGTAATATTGGAAAAAGCTTTTCCTGTTTATAGATAAGTAATATTTACTTTACACAAGACTCACCCTTCTGATAATAAGTTGAAACTATTAAACAGCTTCAAGGTTTCTTACTTGAAATATATATTTTAAAAAATATAATATTAAAATCTCAAAAACTACCATAAATCTGTATTTATTTAATAGAAACAGCATCAACAATACAGTTTTATTTGTAAAAACATACCTCCATGCCCAAAAGATTATAGCATACATGCTTGTTAAACACTGTATTAGATTAAAATACTCAACTATGATAGATGGAACATAATAAAAGCTGAGATGTAATTGTAATTTTTATTCTTCATTTTTACTTTAAGCAATTGAAAAGGCACAAATCAATCAGGGTATAGTTAAAGTGGTACAGAAACAGCAGCCAAAAGACAATGTGAAAAAACCTTTAGTTGTTACAAAACCTCCAAGTCCAATCATTTCTAAAAAGCAATCAAGTATAAATTTACAAATTCCAAGTACATCTTTGCATCAAAATACCTTAGAAGCTAAATCTCAAAGGTAAGTAAAAAAAAAAATTCTTATTGGTTTGCTTTCGCCTAAATGATTTAACCACTGCACAAAGTAATAATGCCATGGGTTGGTTGTAGTAGGAAATGAAAAAGAGGTTTGCAACTGTACTTTGAGGTTTGTTATAACTCACTCCTAGCAGTTATAATATTAGGCCTCATTGAGGCTACTCACCATGACATCATTAAAATTCTTCCCAACTGACCAACAGATTTCCCCTGACTCACTTTGAGTTCTTTATTTAAGGCATCTTACCTAGTTCATTTGTGTTACCTGGGGTGTCTTATTCACTCCACAACATTTTGAGATTTTTTTTTTTTTTTTTTTTTTTTTACTAGTAAATATTTTATTTTATTCCTTAGTATTCACCCACTCCTCTTTCTGGTGAGTTCACCACATACTGAACTTTGTATTTTTTCATTTTGAGTCAACCTCTAGTTTATCTGTACATTTCCTTTTACTGGTAATCATACTTGTACGTTCAACAAATTGTATCTGGAAGGCCATATCTTTCAAACAGTTCATGTAAAAATTCACTATAACCATAGAAGTTGGTTTTTTGCACTTACAAATTTCAGGTCACTTAGTAAAGCTATCCACTACCACAAGGTAATGTGATCTGTTTAATGTACCTGCAAAATCTTTGTTCAGTCTTGACCACAGAGTATCTGCTTTTGTAATATGATAGGTATTACTACTCTTTGTGCAAATATCAGTACTCTGTCACAGCGAATAACATTCAAGTCTGGATTGCATTCTAAAAATTGTCTATCGTTCTTTCTTTTAGTTGGTTTTTGTTTTTGAAATAAACATGTCTTGTTCTGCTTTTACTTTTATTTTTTCCAGGGTAACTGGTAGTTCACATACTACATTGCATGCTATATTTTTAATTTCTTTTTAACTTTTTAATGTTGCAATAACAGTATCCTCAAAAGGTTCAATATTTTTTGGTATCAATCTTGATAAACCATCACCATGTCCAGTTGGTATTCCATCCTGAAATTGTAATTTTTTAAGATGGTACCCCAGCGTTGTAATCTATTCAATGTATGCGTATTAATTCGTTTTTTTTGGGGAGGGGTGTTACCCATAAATTGATAATAGAATTTGATGGTCTGTCTGTAACCAAAAACTCTTTCAGTGTATAAACTTGTGAAATTTTTTCACTGTAATTATTATTGCTAACACCTCTTTCTTGGTCTGGCTGTAATTTTTTTCTGCTAGTAGTGGTGAACGTGAAGAATATGCAGCAGTTTTCATGTTACCGTCATCATATTTATATAGAATTACTGCTCTTATATCATAGTCACTAGCTTCTGAAGCCAATATGATTTTTGCTTTTGGATTGTAGTGTGCTAATATGTTCGTATTTTCTTGATTTCTTCAAATGCCTTCTGAGACTTATCAGTCCAGTTCCACTTTACAACTTTTTTAAGCAAATTGTTCAGTAGAGCTTTCAAATTCTGCATATTAGGTCTATAGATTTCATAATAGTTTATAGTCCTAGAAAAGCTTGTAACCTAGTAACGTTTATTGGAGAAGACATATTCTTAATTGCTTCAGTGGATCTGGTTGACAACCATTTTTGTCAGTGATTTGTCCTAGGTTTAGGCAAAAACAATTCACACTTTTCCTCACAGAATTTGAACCTGTATTTTCATATTTTTTCAAAAACACTTTTCACATAGCTGACTTGTTGTTCCTTAGATACACTTTTAATTAATATATCATCCAGATTTAGGGTTTTTCTGACATTCATTCAATATTTCTTGTAGTTTTTGATTCTGTTCAAGATTTGTTAGAATTCTAGTAGATATTTCTGCATCTTTTTTTGTTGTTAACTCTTCAATGAAAATTAAACCTTTAAACATATCTGGAATCAGTTTGTTTAATTTGAATCTTTCACACTCCTTGTTAACAATTTCAGCATATGTGACAAAAATCTTCATCTTTTTTTGTTAGATTTATACACTTCCAACAAGTATAGAATAACAAACTTTTCTTGCTAAAATTTTAGTCAGAATATTTACTGTTTCTTTAAAGTAAATTTCTCCTGGTTTTGCTGGTAGTACAAAATTACAGTATTTTTCCAGTGCTTTCTCAACAAAAGTCTTGTTTTTTTTTTTTTTCTCATCTTCCCAGTTGCTGCATTCTTCTCTGAAAATTTGCTTATCTCTTCTAAAGTAAGCAGAAAAGGTAATTCCATCATCTGAATTGTATGTGAATTCAGTTACGGCATTTGCCACTGCATTTAAAGTGAAAGAATTTGGGGAATTTTTCATTTTCTTCTGTATTATTTCAATTAAATTTTGTTGTTGTTTCTGGAATTTCAACAACTGCTGCTGCTGTTGCATTTTTACCACTTGAGCTAATAATTCTTCCATATTAAAGAATATCTAGTTTTCTTTTTTTCTTCTATTTTTCTTTTTTACACACACCAAAGAAAAAAAAATTAAACTAACATGGTTCTAATTTCTTGTTGTCACTTTTATCATGTGCACCAATGTAAAAAATTCTTTTTCCTACTCCATATGAGTTTTGATTCCTCATCACCACTGTTATATAATATAATACTAGGTGCTATAAGCTCGGATGTGCTTGTAGTGTCATGGATAATGGCTCAGAATTGTTAATCATAGAGCTGAGTTCCAGTTCCTACTGAGTTATATTCACTTATGCACAAAACCCTTGGGAATGATATGAATCCACCTCTTCTCCCACCAGCTATAGGTTAATTAGTAAGACTTGTACCATTAAACCATTATTATTGGCAAAAAATTCTTACAATCTAAAGATATTGTTTGACTTTAAATAATCTGAAAATGGTTGATATGCCATAGAAAATGAATAAATCAAAACAAATTCCACTTTCTTTTTTGATTTTATCATAATGTTTTGGCTACATCCACTCTGGCATTCCTCAAGTATTTGTTATCTTTTCAAATGTCAAATAAAATGCTACAAAATACCATATTCTATACCTGCATGCTCTTTTATAATACATTTTTTTACCTAAATTAATTTATTTTTGATTTAGCTAAAAACTTAAGACAATTTATAATGTTCTTTCTTAAATGTTGTTAAATGTTTTTTTAAATAATTTGTTACTCATTTAAGACCATAAAATTTTACACTGTAAGCCCAGTAATTACATTAATTCTCTTAGTAAGAACAATACATATTATCTTCTTGTTTTTGATTTTTAAATTAATGAAACAAGAATGTTTAATAATCTTTTATAATTGGCCAAACTTATGAATGCCACTACAATGCCTTATTCATGGTTATTTGTGTTCTTTTGCAGTTCATTAGCATTTTCTCCCTCGAAGCAGTGGCCTAAAGAGTTATGGAAACAAGATAGTGAGGATGATGACAATGGTAAGAGTGACACTTGGAGTGATGATGACGATGAAGATGACTTTGTGAGAACACCTCCAGAATCAACTCGAATCATTTCCAAAAGTTCTCCTCCTGCTCGACCACCACCCATTAAACAAAGTTTGTTGAACAAATCTCAAACAAATCCTCAACAGCCTTCTCTTAAATCAATTTCAATGGCTGAGCATAAACAGCAGCAGCAGTTACAACAAGCAGCAGTTGCTCGAACACCACCTGTGCCATTCCCAAGAACTATGCCAAATACCAAAGCACTAGATATGTATGATCTTGATGATGATGATGAGTAAGTAAATATTGATCATTTTTTCTTCATTCTTCAATTCATTATGTTTCTTTGTAACAGTTACATTTTATTTTGGCATTTAACCTACAACCATTGACAGATTGGACAACTTCAAAGAATTCATTCTCTATATGTTTACATCAAATTTGGAAGATCAGATAGAACAACAAAAGCAGTTATATTACACTAACTGAACTCTTCTCCATCTTTTTTTCTGTTGTAAACCTGTTCAGAATAATTCAACCCAGCAACTAAAATCTGGCTATTGTTTCAGTAAACTGCATTTTGTATATTAATCTCTCTTTACACCTGTTTTTTTTTTTTGTTTGTTTTTTCCAAAGGTTTTATCTTTTTACCTTTTTATCCTGCCTGTGTTAATGTATAAAGTTGAAAATTGTTGAGTTTGACTTATAGTCCAGAAACTATAGTGACTTCTTCCTTTTAGCTAAAGATGTAGCATGAAATCATCCCATCATTATATCTAGAAAATGTGAATGTAATTCATTTACATGAGTTTATAAGAGTGTAAATGTTTATGATTAATTACTTCAGAATGCTGCTTTCAAACATTTTGCACTCTTGTATTGGCATATTGAATATGTGGAAGTTGCATATTATAGTACTCAGTCAAATGTGCTAAACATTCAGGGGTTAGTGTGGGATGGATGAGCTGAAGAGTAATAGAGAAAGCTTCTAATTATAAAAAAGGGACATAGTGCCTACAGTGTAAGATACAGATTTTATATTCTCAGAAATTATTCCTAGAAGTACATGTACTCCAATTGGAGAACCCTGCTTTAGATTATGACTTTCATGACTAGTTTTAAATAAAACATTTGTGAATATACAATTCAATTTCAGAAATATGTCTCAATAAGGTTTTTAGTTTCAAAGTAGAAAATTGCTTATATTTTTTACTTACTGATATTGCTGATACATCCTATAATGAATATCATTTTTGAAATTGAACCATGAGAATCATATAAAGGAAATTTGTTGTACATAGTCTCAAATGTTATCCTTGTCAGAAACACTGTTAAAGAGATTAAAATAAGGAAAGGAACATCTTTAAAAATGCCTACAGAACTTACAAATGTGTCATAGCAAATTGATTAATGAGAAGGAATCAAGAATCACATATTGACATAAAGGAAATGAGAAAAATAAAATTATTTTATATTTTTTCTCTTCTTTAATAAATATTTAGCAGTGACAATTGGCAGAACTTTAATGGCAGAAGGACAGTGCCAGCTCAGTCATCCACCTCTGCATATTCCAGCTACAAACCAAAGAGAGAATCAAATGTTACTCGGCTCGGGAATATAATTGAAGATAAATTGATGGTTAGTTTTTAGAAAAATTTCTTTTTCACATTTTCTCTTCAACTTTTAGCATTAGCACTTTAGAGGATATAGTAAATTTGTACTCTTGTATTTCAGTACTAGTGATTTCTACCAGCTTAAAGTGAAAAGTAAACCATGTACGAAATTTTATATGTTATTTTGACTTAAGGTCACAAAAATTCGAATTCAATTTTGGATGGTTAGATCCTGTTGAAATTAGTAGAAATTTGGTTGAAGTTTCCAATATTTCTAAATTAACCTTTATTTGATTATCTGTTGCTGTTTATTGTCTTTTCTTTTAATTCTCTTTAAATAGCATATTTAATTTTCTTGATATTGGAAATAAAATTTTATTACATTAAATCCAATGCATAATTGTAAAACTGAGAAGTGTTTGTTTTTTGCTCTTTTAATCCAGCCTGTATCTGTTTTATAGTGAACAATTTAACAAAATGAAATGACTATACTGTTTTGTTTCTCTGATTCGTGAAGGAAACAGTCATCACTGTGTTATTAAAGCAGATATATACTTTATAAAATGTGAATATTTGGATTAGCTTAAATCCTTACAGCTTAACTGAAAAAAAACAAATGTCAACATGATGTAATACTTCATTTAATATTACATTTTCAGAATCGACCATCAGTACAATTTGCTGGAGCTGTTAATTTATTAAACAAAAATGAGACACCAAAGGTGAATGCTGATTTTTTTTTTTTTTTTTTTTTTTTTTTAACACTTGGATTTACATAACAAATACTTTAGAAAGAAGTGTTAATCTTTACTAGAGATTTTTTTACTTCCATTTAAATTTAGTGTACATTTTTCCTTAGAACTTTATTTGCAACTAAGATTTGAACTTTATATCTTCTGTATCCAAACCTGATATTCAAGGATTTATGGCTTTTGTTATTGATAATTGAATTTTGTTTTTTAGGCTGATGATTCAGATTTTTCCAAAATTTCATCCTTGGAAGATGATTTTTTTGATAACAAACCTCAAAACCCAAGGTATGAATCAAACTATTCCATAATTTTCTACATGTTACACCTTGTCTGAAGTTATTAAGCTAATCATATAAATTTCAGTAATTTAAATTTGGTTTGAAAAAATTGTCAAATTTTAAACAATCAATTTAGATGTCAAAACATTGTTATTGTTGAAGACTAATAACTATCCAGACCCAAAATTAAAATATATTGTAGAAATGAAAACAATGGATAAGCACTAATCTCTAGTAAATTTCAGTGGTGGACTCTCCTGTCATATTTGACGTATGAGGGTCAAGCAGCTCAGTTCTTAGGAACCTACAACCCAGACACCAGCACATATGATTTGATTATAGTGGTGAAGACTTTGTGCAGAACCAACCCCACTTTTTCAAGTGCCAAATACAGAGACCTGGTGCATTACATGTCACAAGGTCCCCAAATGACCCTCCGCAGGTTTTGAATTCAGAGTTGTCCTTCTCCTAGACCAGTTGCCATCCAAGGCTATAGAACCTAGTCTGTCCTGCTATTTACCCATAGCTGGAGGGAGAAGAAGAGGATTAACACCTTTCCCAAGGGTAATAGCAATTTCAATGGAACCTACTACAATTATAAATGTATTTGCCAGGGTGGCTTACTATACTTCATTCATATAATCTCTGGATACTAAAATGGTTTGTGATTTTATTTTTGGTTTTTAGCACTATTAAATAATTTTTCTTACTTGATGTCCATAAAATATACTAAATTCTAAAGTTTCTGTAGAGAAGCATATTTATTAATTATACTAACATCAAAACCAAGCCTGATTTTAAATAATACAATAGTATAAATATATATAAATAAAAATCCCTAGCAAATTTCTGGAGAAGTCAAATATATCTAACATCTGATAAACCCTCAATATTAACAGTTTACTTAAAAAAAAATATGCACATTCCTATCCATAATAGAAAAAGTTCAATTATATAAAAATTATCTAACACAATAAATAATAATAAAACTGAATACTTTCAAATAAGATTATATTCTACAATAATATCTTTAAGAAAGAACAAATTTAAAATAACTTTTTCCATTATTTATATTGCTTGGACTGTTGACCTCATCTTTGTCATATTCATGACGTTTCAGCTATTGTACGCTCTGGCCCTCTTCAGGTGATATATGTTGGAATTTCGAACTGAACTTTTTATTTAATTCACTGGGGTAGAATATAACAATAAAGATGTGAACAACAGCCTGAACAATGTAAATAGTTACATCTCAGAAATATAGACAGAAGTTTAAAATAAGTTGGCATCAAAAATTAACTTTTTTTTCAGAGAAAATCAAGAATTTTACTATCCAAACCCTAACAGTGGATACCATGTCCATAAGACTTTGAGTTGGGAAAGAACAGTTGGATTTAATTTTATTTGTTGTTATTAATGTTTTAGCTCTCAATATTGAGCACTTTAATTACAAAGAATGTTTACTTTAAAAGAATTTTCATTTAGAAATACACTGGTTGACTGTTTAATTTGATTTTGCAAAACAATGTTTGTTTTTATATATATATATATATATATATATATTAAATTCATTTTTTAACACAGGAGTAGTAAAAATATTGAATTACTATAGAAAAAAAAATGAAGTTTGTGAATCAACTTTATTACATGATTAATTAAATACATTTTAACTCATTTTTTGTTTTAGATTTTCATCCACACCAGCATCAAAGGGTCACACTGAGACTGATGCTTCATCTAATACATACAGCACTGGTATCTGGGGTTCTTCATCAAAAGGTAATTTGTAACCATCATTTTAATCATCCTTTTCTCTTAAATACTTAATAGTCATCACACACTTGTGTAAATATTATATTGACTTGAAGAAACAAAAGCATTAAGATTTGATATGTTTGATAAAAATTCAGTCCAGTTTTTTTCATTTGTTTTCTTATTTGTTATGGTATAATAGTATGACATATGCTCCTTTTACAGTTAAAGATTACCTTTGTCTTTTACATATATTTGATATGATGATAATTTCCTGTTTAACTAAATGAATTACAAGAGCAACCTAAATTATTGGGAGATAAGTCAAGAAATAGCTGATTATAGTTTTCTCTCTCAAAAACACTGATAAGAAGGCTTTTGCAAGTAATCTTCTAATTTACTTTGTCTCTCTCACCATTTATGTGAATAAAATACTTTAGTAAGTAAGCAATTTAAAAAGGTATTTGCTATATTGATGCTAAACATAATATTCATTTTTTATGACCATGAAAGGTAAGAGAATACATGATTAATATATCTTTTTTAGATCTTTTTTATGCTGTATACTCCATCCAGAAAATATAAAACACTGTAAATATTTTATTCTTATTGGAATTTGTTTAAAATGTTTCTTCATGATTGTAAATTTTAATTTCCATTCTTCATGTTTAGTTATAATTTTTAGTAATTATGAAAACAGTACAAAAGTCTGTAACTAACAAAACATTATTTAGAAAAACGTTAATACTTTATGACTGTACTTTTTGCCTTCAAAGCCTGAATATCATGTGTCACCGAATTTGCTAATCTAGAGAAAGGGATTTCCTCCTATGCATTCATGATGGCCATTTTCAGTTCCTCGAGAGTGGAATATTAGGTGTTGTCATTGTACATATCTCTTGCCATCATTTTCTAAATATTTTCTGTAGTGATACTAGCAAATTAGTATGCATAATTTTCATAAGCAGAATTGAACATTCAATATAAGTGGTTACTGAGAATAACCACTAGAAAGTACGAGTCTAGCAACTGATTAGGGCTAACCTCCACTTGACAACATTTTCTCTGGGATTAAGATCCAGAGAATAAATAGGTCTCTTTATTACAGATGAAAAGTGACCATTGATGCATGAAACAGTTGTCTTTGCAGAATAGCAACTTGTATTAACTTGCTGAATGATCAACTCTGTTCTAGCATCTATTGGTATTGAGTGCTGTCAAAATCCTGTTAACAAGACAGTGTCATGGTAAGAATAATGGTAATATTCACCATTTCCTTATAAGGAAACATTTGTCATTCATTGCTACTTTTGAATGAAATTTATAAAATCTTTCTCTTAAAACAATTATTCAGGAAAATAGGTTTCTCAAGTTCACTGTTATCATTCTTTCCAGGATTGTTTGAGGTTTCCTTCCTAACCTTTTGTTTGACATAGTGTGAAACAACAATGTCTTGATTATGTCATTATTCTCTCTTAGAGTTACATGTGATATCTATTTTAGTTGTTGAGTCCGCAAATGATTTAACTCACAGCTGGTAAAGTGGTATTCATCATTTTCTTGCAACCATGTTTCCATGTTTTACCATAAACACCAGAATTCCTCAGAAAGTTGCAGTTCACATTTTCCTAAATTTTGTAGAAGAAAGCTTGCAGTTTTAATCCAGGTGAAAATGTTTTTTCTTCTGACATATGTCAGGAACCATTTGGTATTTATCTTCTGTGCATGAAACGCTTTAATTTAAGAAGAAATCAATTGCTCTCTTTTGCCGTGTTTATATAAGTATTTTACCAGCATTAGCCTGTTATAAAATTAGGATTACAGCATTCTGCAACCTCAGCATATTATAGCACAGAAATTTTACAGCGATGAAGAGTTGATTTGATTGTCTGTTGGAAATTTTCAAAATCAGATACTTACATAACACTAGTAATAATGATGTTTAATATTTTATATTAGAACAAAACTTAATTTTGTGTAAGTGATTCTATTGAAAAGAATTCATTATTAATTTCTCTTTTTGTCACCATTTTAGGAAGATAGTGGCTGATTAAGGTGACATTTTATGATTAATTTCTGATGAATTTGGCGTTTTGGTCACTACTAATTTCAATTAGAGTTATGTCAGAGATCCAGTGTCCATTAGCAACCATTATATCCCATCTAGGTGTATGCAAATTTGAAAGGTTACTATTAATGCAAGATAGTCAAACAGCAAAATAAGTCCACTAATAGGAGTGTGTGTGTGCTAGCCAGCCAACAAAAGAAGGCAGTAGCCATCATCATCAATAAGAGTAATTAACATGAGGAGAGAAGAGAAAATTACTAGGTACAGGTGTTAATGCTAAAATTAAGTAGAATTTGGCCAAAGTATTAACAGATTTGAAGAAAATGTGGTAAATATTATAAGAAATAACTGAAGGGGAAGAAGAGAAGAAGAGATTGCTATTACAGGCAGGCATCTTTGCTGAAAGAAAGGTAATGGAGAAAGTTCAGGAGTGTGTGTGTGTAGGGGTGATGGTGGAAATATTAAAGAAAAACCATGAAAATGAATTAAAACAATGTAGAACAATTGGCTGGAAAGCATTTAACAAAAATATATTAAAAAGCACTTTGTCAATGAGCTGAAAACCTAATGAATGCATAATGCTACTTACTATATATATATATATATATATATATATATATATATGAAACATGTAAATTAATTAAATCACTTGTAAACAAACTTAGGAATATACAAAGATCAATGTAAAAGGTAATGCTAGAGAATAGAAAGAGGTCAACATGGATGAGAGAAGAACAGACCATAAAAACATGATAGACGTGTTTAAAAGATGAAAATGGTGGTGAGTGAGACATATAAGAAGTAAAAATAACAGATGGAATAAAACATTGCTTGGTTTGTGTCCAGTGGATAGCAAACATAGGAAAAGACCAGATAGAAAATGGAGAGATGAAATAGAGGAGTTTGTTATTAAGACGTGGTGGAGAATA